CCCACGCCCTCGATCCGCAGTGTAGATTGTGTTTCCTACCGTACCATCCTAGACTTTGCCTTGGAAAAATGAATTTCCGTATGTGTACAATGAGCGATAGTATTGTTACGTTAGTGTTTGAGAGAACATTTTATTCGGGTTATGAGAAAAATTGCTTCAAATTCCTTTTGTCGTATCCTTTTTAGCAGGAGACGTTCACCCTCCCCATACTACAGCCGATACAGATCTAGGTCAAGGTCCCGCTCATACAGTCCAAGTGAGTACAATCTGAACCAAGCATTTTCTTACTTTATATCAAAAGTATTTACATTATGTTTAAAAAAAATAATGATACAAATGTTTAAAACCTGTACGAAACGGGCTTCTCAACAAAACCAGTAGTTAATATAATTTATTTGCTTTAAAACGGAGTCACTGGTCTGGAACAAGTATAACCGTCTGATATTCATCTAATTTTCTTCTACCAGGTCTCTGACATAAAACTGGGGATGCACAGATACAGTTTTTTCCGTTAAGAGCACCAATATATTTTTCCCCCCGGTACTTGCCATTAACTATACTGGAAGTCCCATTAAGGAAGCCAGGCGGTGTGTAATGACTCGCCACTCGGCTTCCCGATTAGCAGGGAAGCAGTCTCTATGCTCCCTCGTCACCAAGTGATGAGGAAGCATGGAGCCGGCTTTCTGTCCAATCTGTAAGCCGTGTAATGACTCGTTGGCCGGTTGCCTGATTAGTCGAAAAGCTGCCCAATCCGCAAGCCAGGCAACAAGTCATTACACGGCACCCGGCTTCCTGATTGGTCGGGAAGCCAGCTTTCTGGCCAATCAGAAAGCCGGGGGGAGTCGGGTAATGACTCTGTCCGGCTTCCTGATACCGGAAGCTCGGGTATCGGGGAAGGCATCGGAGCATTTTGGGAGAGTACTCGGCACGGATACTAGTACTGTATCTGTACATCCCTACTTAAAACCATGGCAGAAACTCCGATAAATTGCATTTCTGAAGGTGGTGAGTAGTAGCATCCTATAAATTCTCAGTACAGTGTATCCTTAGTAGGAACACCAAACATGGAAAAATAGGCACAATTACAATTGTACGAGCTTATTTGTGGCATTTTGATATTCGCCTTTAACATCCAGGTAAAAGTTGGAGGGTATCTGAAATGTGTGTTTTTTTGCCTTGTAAATTTGTTTAGTCTTGTATGTTTTCTTGCTTCTAATGGTCCATTTGCACCAATACAGTGCACATGCAATGGTGTGTTGAGGTGCATTGTGATTTCATTGACATTCTATTCAAATGGCTGGGCTGCCTTTTTATGCTAGGCATAACACAATTTACAAATGTAAACAGGCCTAAAGTGCATTAACAGAACCCAATAGAGATTGGATAAGATCCCTGCTCCCCATGCTGCATATTTCACTAATGGTGCATATTTTCTACACCACAGGCTTCTAGTTATTATCGGTATGCAGTCTTTTCAATAGTATGCAGCTGTTTCTTCAATATCTACCCAGCCGCCCACTGGTAAACCCCTTGGCTGCTTTGCAAAAAGCTCAAGCCTGTTTGCAAATGTTTAGCTTCCATGTAAATAATGCAAGGTGGTGGGATACATTGGCCAGCTAAATAGATTTTTGAAAAGGACCAGTGAAGTTCGGGGATCTGTTTGGTGTATGTTAC